TTTAGTGATTTTCACGTTTTTTATATTATTTTGGGCTAAACATTCATTTATTTAAGGCCCAATTCGTGGTTATTATGATTAGGGCTTAGGGTGTTAGTTTCCTATTCTGATTAGAATTACTTTTCCCTATTTAAAGGGGCTTGTAACCCTAATTGAGGGAGATTGATTGAATCTGAGATTTTTGAGAGACTTTTCTCTTTGGTTCGTTTCAGAACTTTACAGAACTTATCAAGATTATTCTTGTGGCGTTCTAACCTGACTTATCATTCTCGTTCTTAATCGTTCGAGGGTGTGGCGTCAACCAAAACTTTATACCTCTGGTTCTTGTTGCGTCATAGACAACGGGTCAAGGTTTTTACCTTTGGTTCTTGTTGCGACATAAACAACGGGTCAAGGTCTTATTATAAACCTGATTTAGCTTTCCTGAGTTTAAAAATCCCTTGTCGTGCTGTGGGTCTCATTGTTCTCTTTGGGGTTCTCATCACTGCCTTTGATATGATAAAGTGGTACTTATCCAGACCACCAGTACTTGTACCGCCTGTGAAAAATAAGCCTTTAATTTTGTATATATCCACCGCAGACGAGTCCATAGGATGTCTGCTGGCGCAGGAAAATGATAAAAAACAGGAGCAGGCTGTGTATTACTTAAGTCGATGTTTGACCCAGACCGAAGTGAAATACTCTTCAGTTGAAAAGTTGTGTCTTGCTCTCTTTTTTGCTGCAATAAAATTAAGACATTATTTCATTTATTCTGAGGTGTATATGGTTGCCAAGACTAATATTGTCAAATATATGTTGTCCCGCCCTTTGTTAAGAGGCCGAATAGTTAAATGGATTCTGGCCTTGTCTGAGTTTAATTTGAAGTATATACCACAGAGGGCTGTCAAAGGGCAGGCACTGGTAGACTTTCTTGCAGATCATCCATGTTTGGACGTGGAGGCAGATGAAGAAAAAGGGATTAACTTGTTTTCAATAAGTTTAGTTCCCTGGAAACTTATTTTTGATGGATCCAGTACAGAAACCATGTCTGGAGCTGGAGTCGTGGTAATTTCCCCGTCTGGATTGAAAACACAGATGTCTTTCCAGCTGGATTTTAATTGCACAAATAATCAAGCAGAATATGAAGCTTTGATTATTGGTCTTGAGATGTTGGTAGAGCTTAAAGTATCCATGGTTGAGGTTATAGGGGACTCACAACTAGTTTTGAAGCAATTGTCTGGTGAGTACAAATGTACTAGCCTTGCTTTAGCCCCTTATTTTGCCTTGGCTGTGCAATTGCTAGAAGAATTTGATGACATGTCCATCAGACATGTGCCCAGAGACCAGAACTATGAAGCTAATGAAATGGCCCAGATTGCTTCAGGTCTGCGAATTCCTGAAGGTGTAATGCAGAAAGTTGTAGTAGTTGAAAAACGCAGTCTGCCATCAATTCATCAACGTGGCATGACTGTCTCCACTTGCAGCATTGATGTTACCCAGACGGACTGGCGCTTTCCAATTATTAAGTACCTTAAGGATCAAAGCATTAAGATGAAAGTTTCCAGATGCTGTCTGATGTCCATGATGGGATTTATGGTGCACACCAAGCTGGAATCAAGATGCGTTGGTTAATTCGCAGACATGGCTTCTTCTGGCCGTCTGTCCTGAAAGACTGTATTACTTATGCTAAGGGCTGCAAATCTTGTCAGATCCATGGGCCACTTCAAAGAGTTCCAGCCTCTGAACTTAATTCTATTGTGAAACCATGGCCATTTCGAGGCTGGGCTATTGACTTAATTGGTAAGGTGTA